AAGAGGATTTAAAAAAAAAAAAAGTTGGTTTTTTTTTTTTTTTTTTTTTTATGATAAAGGAAACAAGTATAAATTGCAGGGCAAATTGCTACAATTTGATGAACCTGACATATACTCATGGTGATAGTAACTCTAAATACCAACAGAGAGGGAAGGAGTCTTCACATCAAGTATCAATGCTATCCCCTCTGTACATGTGGTAGATATGGAAGGGCAACTTAGATATTGGCTACCTAAAGTGAGGGGACGATAAAGGCACGAAGTGACTGGCTTACAAGGTTTCAAGAGGGAGTGTAATTTAAGAGTGTGTGGGGGTAGAGAGTCCCCACTGAATAGCTGTCATCTTTTTTAGATGGGTCAGGTGAAAAGAGATGGGGATAAGATTCATATGATTCAATAGTGAATAATTATCATGATTAATTGCGACTGTCACAATTGTAAAGGTAGAAGTTTTGTAACAAAAACAGGGGAGTGGTTAATCTTACAGTCCAGAAACAGAGGACCCTAGGGCCATCAAGGGAGAAGAGCACAAGCAGAATGCGGGGCCTTATCCAGAGAAGCAGCAGCGCCAGAGACAGAGGATGAGACAGGGTCATAGAGATGGGGAGAGGCTGAGGACTCTAGGTGAGGGACTAAGAGCTGGAGGCCAGGAAGCTGACTTGCAGAATGTGCCCTTTGGAGGTGTAAATTATTATATATGCCTGAGCTTTTGTTTATTTAAGTTATTTTTTAAAAAGCTAAAGTGGATAGAGAGAAATACTGTTAACTGATGGTACATCGAGGGGATTATAATCATTGTAATGAAACAAGGTATATGATTTGTTGAATGCAAAACTGATGGTCTGCCCTGTAAACGCTCACTCAATCCACAATAAAAACCTTAAAACAAAAAGTAATAACAGTTGACTTATTAAAGTAGCTCACATCACAGCCAGGAACCTCTTATGGAATAAGGACATATGACAGTGCTCGAACAAGAAATCAATAGATAGCAAGAAATACGTAACATAAACATTTTCGTGCATTTCACACTATACACAGTAAGTAACCATCAGGACAATCTTTTTGGGGGGGCAAGAGTGAAAATCAGCACAATTTGGAAACAGAAAATTTGTATCTACAATAAAACTTGCATTGACATAGTAGGATGTGTATTGTTCTAATACAACAATTTAAATTGTGCTTTGATGTTTTTATTTCACTATAAAATTTAAGAATATAAACATAGGAACAAATAATCATAGTAAAATAAAATGTGGGATGTTTTAACATCTGGTAATGCAAGGCATGCTTAACTAGCAATCTCATCATAGCAAAAATTCTAGTTCACAGAAACAATCATTCACAGACCCGGCCAAGAACAGTATCTTTCCCCAAGCCACCAAGTTCCTAAGAGACCATTGCATAATGACTGCAAAACATCACTTGGTCTGCACTGCTTTGCAGCTTTGCATTGTCCCTAAACAAACATTAAAAATCAGTTGCTGTACCATTGACCCCCAACTCATGGAATTCCCATACAGTTTTCAATGACTTTTTGGGGGAAGTAGATCACCAGGAGTTTCGTAAGAGACACCGATGGGTGGACTTCAACAGCCAAGTGCGTTAGTAGCCAATTGCATTAACAGTTTGCACTCAGCAGTTCCAAAATGGACATTTTACTCTAAAACTGCTTTCTCTCTTCTCCCTTTTCATTCTCAAGGAATTTTAGTTATGGCAGAACTGGACAGGCTCACTGGCCCCCTCCACATTGTCCATCAGCCTGGGAAGTCTCTCTCTCTCCTATACCATAAGGACAAGAAGCTTGTCATCTCGTAATAACTCCTTCCCTTCAGTACTGCTACCTTTTCCTGAAAACATGATCTGTGTGAAAGAACTTAAGCAAGACATGGAAGTGTTTTTTTTCAAGGGACTCAGACAAAAAAGATCAAGGTTGGAGGTAATTAACATGCAGTGAAAAAAAGCACAAATCTCTAGCTCAGAATGTAAATCCATTTACATTGAATATGAATGAGCAAGGAACTACCCTAGTTTAGTAACTTTCAAATTCTGTTGACTGCCATCCAGTGAGAAATATATCTAATATGCTGAGTGCAAGTGTCTCAGGCAGGAAGGGTGGACTGATGCTCCCTGATGGTCTAGTGGCTAGGATTTGGCACTCTCACTGCTGTGGCCCAGGGTTCGAACCCCAGTCAGGGAAGCTTTTCTCCCTGGAGTCCTGGTATGGCACTGTAAGATTAGCACTGGACCACAAGGTCAGTTTGAGCCACAAAATTAGCAGTTCAAACTCACCAACTGCTCCTCAGAAACACTATGCAGGGTCACAATGAGTCAGAACAAGCAACAAATCCACGAGAGCCTAAACTTGACCTTGAATATATCCCACCTAAATTTTTAGGTCATTTCAAGAACAGATTCGATACATTAAACACCAATGACTGAAGACCAGAAGAGTTGTGGTATGACATCAAGAAGATCGGTCATACAGAAAGAAAGCAAAATGTCAAAGACACGAAAGAAAGAAAAGACCAAAATGGATGTCAGGAGAGCCTCTGAAACTGGCTCTCCAGTGTAGAGAAGCTAAAGCGACTGGAAGAGATGAGATGGGTAAAGGAGATGAACAAAAAATTTCAGAGGGCAGCTCCAGAAGACAAAGTAGAGTGCTATAATAAAATGTGCAAAACCTGGAGTTAGAAAACAAAGGGAAGAACACACCAGCATTTCTGAAGCTGAAAGAACTGAAGAAAAAAAATTCAAGCTTCATCTAGCAATTGTTGTTGTTGTTATGTGCCACGGAGTCGGTTCCGACTCATAGTGACCCTGTACAGGGTTTCCGAGACTGTAAATCTTTATGGGAGCAGAAGGCCTCATCTTTCTCCGGCGAGACAGCTGGTAGTTTCGAATCGCAGCCTGACTCGTAACCACTATGCTACCAGAGCTACTTTCAACTAGCAATACTGAAGGGTTCTATGGGGAAAAATGGACTCCCGTTGTGGTGCTGTGGGTAAATGCGCTGGACTGCAAAGTCACTTTGAATCTCAAGGCCAGCAGTTCAAGTTCACCAGCTGCTCCTCAGAAACCCTATACAGGTCGCTATGAATTGGAACTGACTCAATGGCACTCAACAACAACAACAATAATGAGGAAAATATTGAATGATGCAGGAAGCATCAAAAGAAGATGGAAGAAATATATACAGCTGTAATAAAAAGATTTGGTCAATGCTCAACCATTTCAAGAGGTAGCATATCAAAAACCAATGGCACTGAAGAAAGAAGTTCAAGTTGCACTGAAGGCACTGGAAAAAAAAACAAAAACAAAAACAAACAAGGTTCCAGGAATTCACAGAATACAAATTGAAATGTTTCAAAAAACTGATTCAGCATTCACTCATCTATGCCAACAAATATGGTCAGCTGACTGGAAGAGATATTTGTGCTCATTACAAAGAAAGGTGACCCAAGAGAATGTGGAAATCATCAAACAATAGCAATCATATCACATGCCAGTAAAATTTTGCTGAAGATCATTCAAAAGTGGTTAATTCAAGAGCAGTACATCCACCAGGAGATGAAATTCAAGCCAGATTCAGAAGAGGACATGGAACTAAGAGATGTTACTGGTGACATTACATGGATCTTGGTTGAAAGCAGAGAATCGCTGTAAGATGTCTACTCGTGCTTTTTGACTATGCAAAGGCATTTGACTACGTGGATCATAGAAAACTATGGACAACATTGCAAAAAAAGTACTTCATTGTGCTCATGAGGAACCTGTACATAGACGAAGAGGCAGTTATTAGAAGAGAACAAGGGATACTGGTTTAAATCAGGAAAGGGGTGTACCAGGGTTATATCTTTCCACCAAATTTATACAATCTGTGTGCTGAGCAAATAATCTGAGAAGGTGGATTATATCAGGAAGAAGGTGGCATCAGGGCTGGAGGAAGACTTATTAACAACCTGTTATATGAATAACCTGATGAATAATGAACAACTTGCACAATGGAGGAGAAAAGCACATAAAATACTTACTGATGAAGATCAAAGATTGTACAAACCTTCATATAGATTGTCCCTTAATGCAAAGAAAAAAAAAATTCCTTACAACTGGACCAATAAATAATGTCACAATAAATGGAGAAAAGATTGAAGTTGTCAAAGACTTCATTTTGCTTGGATCCACAATCCACACTCATGGAAGCAGCAATCCACACTCATGGAAGGTTGTCAATCTTTCTACCTTGGAGTAGCTGGTAAGTTTGAACTTCTGACTATTTTGTTAGCAGGTGAGTACTTAGCCACTGTGCCACCAGTGCTTCCCAGAGTATGTTAATACTTTTTTGTTGTTGTTAAGTGCTGTTGAGTCGGTTCCAACTCATAGCGACCCTGTATAGAGTTTCCAAGGAGCAGCTGGTGAATTTCAACTGCCAACCTTGCAGTTCAAACCAACCTTGTGGTCTACTGCTTATCCTACAGTGCCACACCAGGACTCCATGTTAATACTTAGAGATGCTTCCTAAACATTTTTTTAGAAAAATTTTCCTTAAAGTATGAAAGTAAAGTTAATCATAAGTCATATCTCATGAAATACCATCAAGAATCGTTAATATCTTAAAGCTTAAAAGTTATTTAGTCCTTAAGCAAAATTCTATTTGGTTGGCCTGAGAGTGGTATCACATAATACATTGATATATATAGCATCTCTTAAAATATATAAATAAATAAATAAAACAGATCACCAGGCACATACAAGGGGCTTCAAAAAGTTCATGGAAATCTTTCATTTTCTTTTAATTCCATTTTTCCATGACCTTTTTAAGTCCCCTGGTACTTTCACATGGTAATAAATACTAGATTTTCATCACAGTCTTTCACTCTAATCCTAAAATTTCTAATCGACTCATTTTCATTCTGTGCACGAGCACTCTGCTAATCATTTTTTGACTAATCACATTCCTAATAGTATATAGGCAGATGCTTGAATAGCAGCTGAGCCACTTATTCACTATGTGACCTATGTAATTAATCTCTGAGCCTCAACTTGCTAATGAACAAATTGAGACAACATTAAGAGTCATGAGGCAAGCTGTAGACCAACAATGCCAGTTTCATTCCCCACTCTCTTCATTGGCTGTTTCTCCAGTCACACAAAAGTGTAGGCTGGGAATCCTATACATTACACTGAAATTCAAATTTTGTATTCAAATTACATAAACTCACCTAACTCTAAGTAAAAGGACTGGTAGTCCTAAAGATGAACCGATACTATATAGGTAAAATATAAATAGAAAACCAAAGAAACACAAAAGACAGGTATGACATAACAACCCATCACACTACCTTATCTCATCCTCAACTATTCTCCCAAGCACTCATTTCAACTCTCTTCCTGAACATGTTGCATGCCACTATTCCGGTGTTTTCCAAGCTTCTCTGATAAGAATCACCGAGGGGACCCTGTTCTTCACACTCTCCCAGATGCTTCCCTTAGGCCTGATTAAGAGGATCTAGATTAGGGCCCATGAATGTGCACTTTAATGAGTGCATTAAGATGATTTATCAGAGAGGTTGCAAATCATAGCCCACACCCTATACCTTTTGGATGGTTGTCAACCACTTATGATACCAACCCCTACTCATTCTCTAGACTAGTTTAGCCTGACTTGGAAGTAGCAAGATTGAGAAGGGCCCACATTGCAGACACTATAAAGCATTTTCTGCCTTGTTGTTGTTGTTGTTACATGTCACTGAATTGGTTCCCACACATAGTGACCCTGTGTAGGGCTTCCAAAGAGTGGCGGGTGAGTTTGAGCCACTGACCCTGAGGTTCAAACCAACCTTTCAGTCCCACAGCACCGCAGAATTTTTGAGCATGATTTGGTTACCACACAGTGACTTCTCTATCCAAAGCCTTCTCAATTCCTACCAAATGTTTGGGTGGGACCAAGCAAATACAGTATACAGGATTCTAACACTGGGATTGGTTAGTTTTTCTATACCACTAAATTTAAAAGGGGCCATCTTAGAGCATGCGATTCCTACTTAGAAAAGTTGCCATGGTAGAGGACGTAGCAATGTAGAGACAGAGTGCACCTTCAGGCTTCTAGGGCCATGGACTGAGTAAAGCTGAGCACCTACAGGCAGAAAACTGCCCCGCAGAATGTCCCTATTGTGCATTTACAGCTAGGCTAAAAGCACTGTGTAACATTTGCCCGAGCAGGGCAGAGGCCAAGGGACCCCATGGCTCAAGGCCTGATTATAAGAGCCAGGCGTGTATGCAGTTGGGTAGAGAAGAGCATTCATTACTGACTGGAGAACGGCTGCATCCTGAGTTGTTTCTGGTCCTGAATCTGTTCACCCTGTTCACTTCCCTAATAAATCCATAACTGTGAGTATTGTTCTGAGTTCTGTGTGGTCACTGCAATGGATTACTGAACCCAGATGTAAAGCAGAGAGTGCTGTGGGATGGATGGTTGGTGTTAGAATAAGGCAAAGAAGGTTGTAAGGTGGAGGCATGTCTAACTTTCACTTCATAGGAATTAGCCTTGGGCTGATTTTGAGTTTGATTCTCTGACCCCCTCGTGAAGTCAAAGGAAACCAGACACATTTTTACAATAAGAAACAAAGGTAATCACTTTTATCTCAAGATTGCATTGCTCTGACTTTCTTAATGAAGATACTTGCTTCTTCAGGCCTACAGAACTATTTTAGAAAAACAATCTGCTTTCTCTCCTGGTGGATATAAGACAGACCAATAAACAATGTGCTGTTGTTGTGATTTGCTTTTCAGTCACTACTCTAACTCATATGACCTCATCCACAACAGACTGAAACAGGCTATGGCTCTGCACCATCCCTATCATCAGCTGCAGATCGGTAGTTAATGTTCTATCGGGATTCACAGGGTGTTCATTAGCTGAGTTTGGATAGTATATATTCAGGTCTTTTCTTCCTACTTTGTCGTAGCCTGGAAGCTTGGCTGAAACCTGCCCAGCATCATAACAACATGAAGCCACCAGAGTCTGACACCTTGGCAGATGAGTGATGAATACACAAGGTACAATGGCCAGGAATCAAACTCAGATCTCTACATGGAAGGCAAGAATTCAAACCTAGAACCACCTCAAACATCAGTGTACCAGTGACTAACTGCTGACTGGAGCCAGGTATGGAATTGCTATTCCTGGCAATTCCATTT